AAAGATACTGTAGTGGTTGTGTGAAAAATGGTCAGAAGTAATTTTTTCAGTGCCGCTGTAACTTTGAACCGTCAGTAAATGAACTGCTGTACGTCAAGAATTACCTGTACACAGCTTGGTGTCAACGCTGCTGACATTGGATGTTTTTGCATTGACAACAGATGGAGATGCAGCCATTGTCTTACGATGTGTGGACTTCAACTCCCAAAATTCTCCAGCTAGCAACGCTAGCTGGAGAATTCTGGGAATTGAAGTCCACACATCGTAAAGTTGCCAAGGTTGAGAAACACTGGTCTAGCTAGACATAATAACACTGAACCTAGTGTGAGAACCAAGGTTATTGAAATAAAGCGGGCTGGAGAGCTGGAAGGGAAGCCCTTGTTTTAAACTAATTGGGGAATGTGATTTATGAACTGGAAGAGGGAATTGTACTTTGATACTATGTGCTCGGGGGAGGGGAACTCAGTTTTTGGCTTCGATTGTGTTAGTGCCAATGCTAGGCTATTCAAATAAAGATTCTTTAAGGTAAACAATGCCTCAAAGTTCTTTGAAGAGTTTCATCTGTTGGAACCATGAACTTGGATTGGTATGACCTGCTACGGTAGTTAAGATGTAGCAGCTAATCTTATAAAGCTAAAAAGAGTCAGATCTGCCTAGGACCTGGATAGAAGCCCACTAGTAATTCTTGGAAAAAACAATATTAAACCACCTTTGCCTTGTTCTCAAGAAAATAACCTACATACCCCAAAGTCACCAAGAGTTAGGCTTGATTTCAGAGGTTTTATTTCCACTTCCTGATTCAGTGTTGTCATGTAAACACAGCTCAGGTAAATCACCCCCCAGGGTACTTCTATTAAGTACCCTGTATGAATATTCCCCATGAGGCCTGGAGTGAAATGTCTGCATTAAGACTTGTCCCAAAGGTGCTTTTCCAAAAGGCAACTGGACTTTTTCGGTTTTCTTTTTTGAAAACATTTTGCTTCTCATTCAAGAAGCTTCTTCTTGTGTTAATTTAACTCTCAGCCTGATTTTTCTGAATTCACAAAACCAGGGCTTTTTTTCTCGGAGAAAAGGTGGCGGAACTCAAACCTGGCCACGCCCTCATCAAACCCTAGGACCGCCCCTTTAGAGAACAGGAATGCAAGTAAAATTTGGGAGGGGCTATTTCCGGTGTGGGAGGGGCTATTTCCGGTGCGGCCGGCCCGGAAAAAGGTGCCGGAACGCGGTTCCGCCGCGTTCCGG